AGAATAATTAATTGACTTCACAGTTGCACCAAAGAAGGAATTAATAAATGAATCCCAATTTTCTGCATCTGAATTCATAATACTTGTGTATTCTACTGTTTGCTGATGATGAGCCACAAGAAGATTAAGTATGTTTATTCTTGATCTTCAAATTACTAAACAAGAACTAATAACTCGAGACAGCAACCACAGGTGACGTGCAAAGACATTAACAAAATATGACAACAAACAGAATGAAAATGAACGGGTACATCTCCTGAGTGCAGAATTCTTTGACAGTTTAATCTCTTTGACCACTTCTCATGATCTGCAACATCATCCCTGATGTTGGGATGAAAAGGAGTTAAACATTACACTCCATAGTTCTAAAATACAAATAGCTAAATTAAATAAATAAATGAACTGAAATTCATCATCGTACATATGAGTGAGAAACATGTAATTTGCACCGCCCAGAGCTTCTATGTTACGAGCCAGCTTCTCAGTGAATCTAGGACTGCATACAAATGATTAGAAGGTGAACATGGGACAATAGATAAATGAGAACAATTTCACAATAAGAGAAAATAAAAATTCTTAAGATTCAAACATCAAAACTGAAGAAGGATGAGGACCTACAATGGAGTAAATATAAAAACGTTCACCTGTCCACAATTATATTTCCATCAGGGCGAATGATCAGGTAGGAAGCAGCTCCATATGATTTCTCAGAATGATAACCACAGTGATAGATTCCCTGAATAGGTACGTACAACCAGGAAATGATAATATAATAGGATAAGTGTTCTTCACAGGGAATTTCAAATTGGAACCCCCAAACCCAAAAAAAAACTATATCTCAACTGCATTTGGCTAAGCGAGTTCTGATAGTTCATAATGGATAAAGACAAGCATGGTCTGAAGCATTTGCCTAATTTACTACTATAGGGAAATTGTTAGAGAGTGGTATAAGATCCAGCATAACCTTCTCCCAACAACTCGAGTTATTGGGATCAACTGGTTCTTGACATGGTATCAGAGCCTAGAACAGAAAGGTCATGTGTTCGAATCTCCACGACCCCCAATATTAACTGTTGTCTTTCAAGCACATGGTATGACGAGCCTGTGCAAACTTCAAGCCCGTGGGTTGGCTTTCGTTTGAGGGGGCGTGTTAGAGAGTGGTATAAGATCCAGCATAACCTTCTCCCAACAACTCGAGTTATTGGGATCAACTGGTTCTTGACAGAAATAACGCCAATGCCTGGAATACAAAGTAAGAAATAACTAGGATGCTAGTCTCCAGCTTGATACTTAGATAGGTATTATTTGGCATGCTACCGAGCTGCAGAGGTAGTGAATTGCCCAAATTTTGTTGCTAATATTAATTGAATCACTAACCTATCAAGAGAACTAAAATAAGGCTTGATAAACAAAGAAAATTGTCCGAGCTCATAAAAGAAGGCAAAAAAACATACTGGGATTTTATTGTCATCTATCGGAAGTGGGAATGTTTTCTGAGCTTCCAGAACATCACGAGTGGGTTTCTCTGTGTGGATTGAACTCGTTGGACAAGCGAGTAAGGCCTACATAACCCATTGTGAGTACCAAAAAGACATAAGTAATCTTGAATAAACATCAATCGAGCGGAAGAGGATGAAACACCCAGATACGACTGTTAGGGAGAACTCATCTAAAAAATGGAAAGTATATAAGTCTGCAGATTGTTGAGAAAACTAATTAAATTTCCTTCCATTGACAACAGAATGTTTGGCCCCTTTCCACACACAACATTGCCTATGCTGAATTGCTGATTGAAATGCCTAGCAATTTTAAAAATGCAGCAGGTAAGATTTTCTTCACAGTTAGTTACATAATGGGCTATCAGTTTAAATCCCGATTTAACCTAGCATCCAATTCAATGATCTCCCCTTCTTTATCTACCCTCATAGCTACCACAAACCCTCAATCTTTCTCTCGGCCTATCATGACTTCCTGAGCTAAGACTGTCACCATTAGAGCAATCAAAAGAAACCAAAAGAATAAGATACAAGCACGGAATAGAAATTGGCAAAGCTACCTGAAGAGCATTCAACCTCTCCTCACTAGAAGTCGGTTGTTTAGAAACAGCAGACATCCCTTCAACTCGTGTGAAAATTTGCTGTACAGATCAAGATAAGCTTTGATAAGAAGCTCAGTTCGACAACTCTATAGATGCCAATTGTTGATGCACAATTAGCTCCAGCCATTAAGAACAGGAATGCAAATGCAAATCAGCTCAAATCGCTTGCTTCAAAGTCAAACAGCTATTCCCTTAATCAACAATCAATGACAAACTGGAGAAAAGTTACTATTACTTACTGGAGCCATCCATCGGCATGTATCGCAGTCTATGCATCTGGTGTCTGCAACGAAGAATTGAAAGCAAGCGGGAGAGAAAAAAAGTTACAAGACGAGCTGGAAAAAATCAATTGATATCAAGCAGCTTTCGAGACAAACAACAACGAAGAGAAAGTTGAGCAACTGCTTTACCGACGAAGAACTCTCCGTCGACGTTGTGCGGGCGTCTCAGCGAGGGAGCCCTAGTCGGAGTAGCAACAGCGGAAGCTGCTCCTGCCGATGCTGCTTCATCCCCTCCGCTCTGGATTGCTTTGATCGGGCGAGTTAATGGCGGCTTTGAGAAGCGAGACGACGAGGGAGGAAGTAGGTCCGGTTGATAACGGAGACCTGTGAGATTGATTGCTTGCCCCGTAAGTCTGAGCGCCATGGCTGGCTAGATGTCCGCTGCTCTGTAGACTGTAGTTGCGTGGGTTTCATTTCCACTGGTTGGGTTGCATCACTGCCTTATATGAGAAGTGAGGACCCGTGTGGTATCTTCTTGCGTCGTCAAGGTCAATCCGGTTCTTGATTGGGTTTGAAAATTCAAACTTTAATGATGATGTGATGTGGGGAAAGGGTATGATTGTTTGGTCTTTGTTTGGTGTGCAAATTTTACAGGGTGCAAGTTGAACGGTAAATTGCAAGCGTATAAATTGATGGTTGGTGTAGGTGGAAAGTTAATTATTGTTTGGATGAAAAAATAGAGAGTGTAAATATAATAAAAAGTAGGGTATGCCTACTATGACATGCATGTCATCGTGACATGGATTTTTCGGTCGACCTAATTCTGAAGGCGGTCGACCGAATTGACTAATTTGGGCAGCACGAGAAAGCATTGCGGTCGACCTCAACGACTACCTGGTCGACCGCACTTAGTTTAAGTTGTTATTTTCGGTGGAAATCACGCATTAGAGAAGATGACGGCGAATGCTACATTAGGTCGACCTCACCTTAGACGTGGTCGACCACTTTCGACACGTATAACAGCAACCGCGAACAATCTTCTTCACAAAAGCTCTAAATCGAAAAAAACCTAATTCAGACTTTTGGTGGCGTTGAAGGGGACTTATATTCGTATTTATAGAGATTGAGGACGTGAATGGGTCGACCCAATTCGTTTTCTTGTCCAATTGTGGAACCTTTCTGCTGTTGGAATCCTTATCCAATACGGATACGGTGTGCATGCGGTCGACCTCTTACTAATGAGGTTGACATGATAGGTGCACAAGGGTCGGCCTATGAGGTATTTGGGTCGACCTTTCATTCTGTTATACCACCAAAGAGGTCGACCATCTTATGTAGACGGTCGACCGCGTCTCTAAACCTCACATAACTGAATTTGTCAATTCGGTCAACCGCCTTGTGGATTAGGTCGACCGAAGAGTCCATGTCACGGTGACATGCATGTCACCGCAGCAAAATCCTAAAAAGTAAGGAAACTATATTATTATTATAAAAAATAGATGTTTTAAATTTATAAAGAGTATCACAAAATAATAAAATGAAAACTATTATATATAATAATCATAAATATTAACAAAAATAATTACTTAGACAATAATGCTTAAATAGTAATTTATTGTAATAATCATTGATAGAGCAATCTCGAAACTTGAACCCCAACCTATGGCCAAGGCATATAACTAGCTTATGTCTCCCATTCGAGCGTTGGTTTGTTGATATGGTGATCTCGATATGACTAGACGAACTTTAACAAACTTGCTCCCGAAGTCAAACGGTGAACCCAAACTAGGTAGGGGTGTGCAACAGTTCAGTTTGGTTTGTTTTGGTCCAGACTGGTCCAAACTCATGAGAATTGCGGTCCAATAGCGATAATCATCTTAGGACCAAATGTCAAATTGCATTCAGACGTATTTGGTCCAGTCCAAAATGTCAAATTGAAACATCATATAATACAGACCATGGACGAGACCAAACCATACTTAACGGTCTACGGTCCGGACCAAACTGTGTGGTCCGGTCTGGACCATGATTTTTCAAACGATTTGGTTTATTTTTCCAACCCTAGTATGTACCAAAATACCGAGAAATACTGAACTTTAAAAACTAATGAAATATAGCACACAACCTTTAGTCATTCCTCACTCTTTCACAACTTAGAAGCCCCCATCCAACTCAATTTTGACTTTCTAGTTTAAGTAACTCTCGTTTCTCACTTTATCTCTTGTTATTTTCACAACATAAAAAAAACAAACACTAGTATTAGTAGTCTCTCAGCCTCCAATTCGTCAAATTAAAGTTACCAATGACAAAATTTTGAGATGTCACATCTCCTCCATTCTCCTTATTCATATCCTAGCTCTAGACAAACTCAAGACTCTTTGCTTAGTCTCTTTGTCCTAAATTAAAAAATTAAATCTAATTTATATATTAAATTATTAATTGCAAAGATAATTAATTTCATATTTGATAATACCGATTGGGATACCGAAGTATCAATTGGGATACCAAAATATTTAGGTATTGAAAATAGGATACCGAAATTATTTAGGGATTGAGATTGAAATTGACTTTAGGATCTATATTCAAAATTTTAAAATTTTATATTGGCATACCATTTCCACTGTATTCTGTGGTCAATAGAAGATTTTATTCTCAGAATTCTTGTTCGCTTGTTTGTTTCCCCGAGAATATACCACTACTCGCACCTATGAGTACGGAATCTCTTTCCTACTTTCTGTTGCTACAGCAGCTGCTACTTCCCCTCCATTTCAGTTATTTCACCTTGAAGAAGAACAGACTTTCACATTGTTAAGTTTGCGGAGGGCGAAAATAATGGAGACCGCGGTGGTGAGAACTGAGAAGAACCTGAAGCAAGCTGCAATAGCCAGCTCTGCTCCCTGTTAAACTCAGGCCGACGATTCAATAACCCATAGTAGCCGCCACAAGAAGACGAAACAAATATGTCGTCTCTTCTGCTCAACGCGAGCCACAATCTCTGCTTCAAGCTCTCTTCTTCTGGATGTCAATGGCAGCCTCTTCTTCCTAATAATACCCATCGTGTCTCCTTCTCACGGGTTGGTACTGTAATTCATTGAAAAATTGATACTTTGCCTGTTCATAATACAGCAGTCGTCATTTCTCATTTGGGTTTGTGCGATTTTTGAGGCTTAGCATTTCTGAAATTATAATGGCCGATAGAACAAAGTCGCTTTCTTTTTGTTCTAATTGTTCCCCATATCTGATTATATCATAATTTCAGTAAGCAATTGGAATGATCAGGAAGCTTCTTGCATACAGGTGGGTGCTGAAAAGCAAGGTCCCATTGCTGCTTTAGCTTCTGCTGAACAGCTTGTATGGCCATCTCCGAGTGATGAAACCCCTTTCTGGAAGAGGGATTTCCCTTCTTGGAATGCGGATTCCGATGTTCCTAGTGACGTCGTCAAGGATTCTGATCCAATGCACGTCATCCACGTCACAGCCGAGATGGCTCCCATTGCCAAAGTTGGCGGCCTTGGTGACGTTGTGACCGGACTTGCTCGTGCTTGTCTCTCTCGTGGCCATACAGTGGATGTAATGCTCCCTTTCTATGAGTGCATACAGAGGCAGCAAGTTGTTGACCTGGAATTGGTCTCTACATACAACTCCTATCTGGAGGGGGAATGGATCCCGGTGAATGCATATCGCGGGGTTGTAACTGGCATTCCTGTGATACTAATTGAACCATCAAACCAGTTCTTCAAAGGGAAGCAAGTCTATGGTGGTTGCTACAATGAATTGGAGGCTTACTTGTTCTTTAGCCGGGCTTGCCTTGAGTGGATGCAGGTTGGTTGCATAATGCTGTTCTATAAACTGTTAAGGGGAATAAGTAGAAACTCTTGTTTGGTTTTGGCATTGTTGTTTATGAGTTACATAGCATGATGTGTATGATATTGGTGCAATGTATCAGGTAACGGGGATTCAACCTGACATTATCCACGTCCATGAATGGCAGACAGGCGCTTTGCCCTTGCTTTACTGGGATATGTACCACCATCTTTCACTGAAGGTATTCTATCCTTGTTTGCATCCCTACATTTATCACATTAACCTAATTACGACAACCTTTTGCATTGCATCTATTTGAATATGTTGACTTTTTACGTGCAAGAAACCACGAATAGTGTTGACAATACACAACATGGAACATTATGGAGAATGCCGGTAAGTTCTGTTTCCGTTCTTCAAATTGGTCATGAAGAATAAAGTCAGTCATCAGATCATGGAGTTTACTCTTTTTCGCCTCTGAGGACAAGTAAGTCACTTGAGTTACTATTGCACTGATCTTCAGCCAAGAGCAAATCAGCAAATGCGGTCTTGATGGGTCAGCATATGCAACGGTAGAGAAGGTAATTGACCAACATGATTCTCTCTATTTGGTATCTGTTACTTAGTTTCTCGCAAGTTATGGTCGAGGGTGGTTGACAAAAATATAGATCTTCCCTTTCACCTCCAGTCAAGGATGACTGTGGCCTATTTGAGTGCCTGGATTTGGCTAAGTGGGAAGAAATGGATGTCTCTGCGTTTGCTTGACAGGAGATTGTCAGATTTCATACTGTAGTTGTGTGATTCAGCTTTCAGAAATCGTAGTGTAAGTTTATAATATTCTGTGAATGACAAGTATGTTATTATTTGAAAGGATAACTTTCCCTGTCTTTGTAGTAGTTTGTTTTTCATAAACTTGGATATTTGGCTGAGTTTTATTGCTTCTTAGTGAGTGCAACTCGCTTGTAGTATTTCCTTCTTCCACCAATCCACATTTCCCTATCTCTGTGTTTCAGGCGGTTGATGATCGGACTATTGGCCATAATCCTGAGAGGTTAAGCTTGCTGAAAGGTGGAATAGTGTACAGCAATGCAGTAGTGTGAGGAGCATAACTCTTACTAACTGTTTGTTGCTACATCAGCTTCTTGAATGAGAATTTGACGAGATAAAATGCATTGGGCAACTGTGGTCACTGAAAGTGGCTGAAGAGAAGTGCTTTGAGTTAAAAGATTTTTTTTCGGGACATGACCATAAAGAATAAGACTCATGCACTCATATCTATTATTTATCTACCATCTCCGCGCAACTTTATGACTATATTGGTCCCAAGTAACTGATTTTCCTTTTGTCTTCCAGTACAGTTTCTCCAACATATTTGAAGGAAACATTATGTTCAGGATGGTTGGCAGGCACTTTGATAAAGTCTCGTGATAAGTAGGTATCTCTAGATTTATACTTAACTTCAATCTGTGCGGTCTTCATTCATTTAGGGTCTGTTTACTTTAAGTGAACAGGGCCTTAGTGGTCGTTTGTAGCTTTCTTTCTGAACCACAATGTTCGCCAGCAACTTAATAGCTATTTCGTGCTATTCAATTGTCATGCTGTAAATAAAATGTATATATGCAGATAGGGTGGACAGATATAGTGTATGCCTATTCATGTATCTGCTCGGATGAAAGTAACTAGCTATTTAGGTACTAGGTACCACTTTTGGTCTATGTATTTCCATTTCATGTGGCTCTGATGCATGAACAGTGGACCACTTTTGCCTGGAATAGAATATTGGTCGTCATCTGGTTCTACTGTTGTCTGCCGTGCAACTGATGCTAGTCATTTCCATATGATTCTTAATGCAGGTACTTTGGTATACTAAATGGTATTGATACTACAATGTGGAATCCTGCTACTGATGCTTTTCTGCCTGCTCAGTTCAATGGTAACCTTCTGCTAGGTTCAATGTGTTTGTTCCCCTGTTAAGATATCCGAGACTGAGGAAAGCATGTAACCTAATCCACCAGTTCACTTGGTGCTTTCTTGCAATTGGTACAGCTCACAACATTGAGGGAAAGAAGTTATGCAAACAGTATGTGCAAAGGGGGCTTGGTTTGATTTCTGAGGCCTCTGGATCCGGTAACCAAATGCCGGATGCAGCACCAGAAGTGCCCTTGGTTATCTGTATTACAAGACTGGTTCCTCAAAAGGGTCTTCATTTGATTACTCATGCCATCAAGCGTATTGAAGAACTGGTGATGATCTAATGTCTCTTATTTATGTTCGTCATAATTTGACGTTCCGTTCTAATGCCTCTTATTTTGTTTGTGTACTGACATGATTTCTTGTCTTGCTGTGACGAGCTTATGCTTTATGTTGATGATTGCAAGAGTGAGCCCAGATTTTCTTGAAGAATGCATGATGAGCTCTTTCTTCTCTGCTATTTATTTTATTAGGGTGGACAAATGATTATCCTTGGAAAAGCTTCAGATGCTCGCGTTGAAAGTGAATTCAAGCATCTTGCAGATTTGGTAAGGTTCCCAAAAATCCGATGTGGTGTTTATTGGTAGCTGTTCCGTTATTCCCCTTAACAACAGCAACTTCAAGTGAGCATAACAAGGGTGAAAAAGTTGCTCATAGTTATGAAATATGGCGAACTCCTGAGGTTGGAAAATAGTTATCTTTTGTTCCAAGTTTATAATTGCAAGCTAACCAGAGGTAAATCTATTAATTTTACTGTGTAGCATAATCAAGGTCCCAGCATTCGCATTCTACTGCTCTACAGGTGATTTATATTTTTCTTACTTGAGTTGCTTCCTCCGCATATTGATTTATTAATTGAGTTGCTTCTTTCACATGCAGCGAGGAGCTGTCCCATATGCTTTATGCTGCGGCAGACATGGTTTTAGTCCCCTCGATCTATGAGCCATGTGGACTTTCGCAAATGCTTGGCATGCGCTATGGTGCGGTATGCATCTAGGCTGAGAAAAAGGATGATTTTGATCTCGATCTTACCTGCTAGATTACTAGATCATTCTGCTACTTTTGTTCTGGGATTTTAACAAGTTTTACGTTGCAATTGTTACCTAGAATTTGGAAAAATGTACACCTGTTGAAACAGTGGAGCAATTGTTTCAGGTTCCAATTGTTAGAAAGACAGGTGGCCTTGCGGATACAGTCTTCGACGTGGATGAGCAGTCAAACCATCATGAGATGACTAATGGGTATTGTGTCTATGGTCTTTTCATGCATAGCATAGTATGAGCAGTTAATTGTTGCGGCATGCAATACTGGTGTCCTGCCTGTTTTTTCAGGTTTGTCTTTGAAGGAATTGACGAAGGATCTTTCAATTGGGCTCTAGACCGCGCATTTACATATCATCGAGAAAGTAAGAATATCGTCTCTTCTATTATCAATCTTCTTCTACTTCTGGAAGTGCAGTAATACTATCCTACCTAGAGTAGGTGTAGAAAATGTGCTCTGATCATGGATGAATGCAGAACCGGAGGAGTGGACTGGCATAGTTAGAAGAGTGATGGAATGCGACAATACCTGGAACAACACAGCCGGAAAGTATATTGAGGTGTACAACTCGGTTAGGGTTGCATAGTGAGAATGATGCTACAGATGGTCAGATGATACAATGCACACAAGTGCATATTCAGAATACATGCTGCCATTAAACCGAAGCCAATCTGAGGTGGAGAACTGCAATCTGCAGCAACAGAATGGTTTAGCAGCAATGTTCTGCTTGTGTAGTACAATGATACTAGTTGCATGTTTATAATGCCACTTACTTCTGTGCAAACTTAAACATGTTATCTCAACAACACATAAGAATGAAATGTCCAATTTCCTTACAACACCAATGGTGATTTCAAGTGAATTTCTCTTCCAAGTGAAAAAGGTTCCTTAGTTAATACATAAGAAGTTGAATCAACCAAGTTAATACTTAAGAGGTTCAAGCAAAACAAGTTCAGAGAATCATCAAGCTATCTGCCAAAGCCTAACATCAGGACTTATGGGCATATTATCTTAATATCATAGAACATCATATGATTGTTAAAATTTGCTTGAGAGAAGCACAAAATAGAAGCTTTCTTATCCTATTGTCACTGGAGTGAGCATCACCATCCCCATCATGACTACATGACCGGAGGTGATCTTGAAAACTTGGCCTGGCTTGGATTGATTGTAGCAAATGATCATCTTCTCTCCTACTACATCATCCTCTCACAGACCCTCCTTCACAACATCATCAAAGTATGGATGTTCCATGGCGTTCTTTGCTGATATACGCTTTGCCGGGTCATACTTCAACATTTGCTGCAATGTTTGGGAAGTCATGAGTTTTGATAGTCATTTATGTATGTATTCTGTAGGAGTATGGTACTTCTGGATGTGAGAGATTAGTAAGAGACTCACTTCGAGGAGATCAAGCCCATCTTTGTCCAGAGTAGGAACAGCAGTTGACAAACTCTGGGGACTCCATTGAGGATACTCATGCCAGTTCACAAGGTTACTGACTCCAGGCCACACCTCTTCATTTGGTGTACCCAACAGTCTGTCAATCATAAAGATGGATGCATGGGTTACTAGTCTTTTCAAGCAAGAAAGAGGTTAAAAGAAAGAACTTTCAAGTCATAGCAAACCTGAATATATGCAGAAGCTGCTGCAGCTCCGAATCTCCTTGGAATATAGCTTGTAGATTCACTAATTCAGCTGGAATTCATGAAAATAGCCAATACAAAATTGGTGAACTGACTTGAGTTAAGACGCTAGAGTGGTGAATCATAAACTATGGCAGGGGGTAAACAGAAATTTTTTTACCAAATATGCAGCCTACGGACCATATGTCGACTGCAACTGAGTAGTGGGTATCTCCTAGGAGGACTTCAGGAGCTCTATACCAGAGAGTCAAGATCTGAACAGAAACATTGCAACCACACAACCCCTTTTAGAAGTTGGCAACTCGACTAACTTTTCTCTGGAGCTAGCTATTGTAACAAGGAATAGCAAAATAAGGTTGTCCCCTTATAGCCTTACCTCATGGGTGTACTTCTTAATAGGGAGAGTAAATGCGCGAGCTAGTCCAAGATCTGCAATCTTAAGCATCATTGTCTTTTTGTCCATCAACAAATTGTGGGGCTTTAGGTCCCTGCAAAGCATAAACAACCATTAGTTAAAGTACATGACTAGACGAAACAAACATTTCGTAAAAGGGTTTCCAAATACCTGTGCAAGAGCCCATGCCCATGACAGAAAGCAACACCCTTGCACAACTGATACATCAAGGTCTGGATGAAAAATTAAAGCAAGTGGTTAATGCAAGACCCATATATGATTTTCTGAGCTACATACATATATATAAAGATACCGAAGAATGGTCCATCTAGTTCACAAACAATGGCTACATGCGTTGTCGCCTACAGTACCTTAACAATGTTGGTAGGAATAGTGGCTTTCGTTTGGCGGAAGCTCCTGATATATTTCTTCAGATCAGTATCCATGTACTCAAACACCAAGTACAGAACCGTTTTCCCTTCTTTGTTCAGCCCTTGTTTCACGTCCAACAATCTACCAATCAAAATCAGAACTCATCATCAGGGATTTCGAACCCGACACTAATAAAGAACCATCACCAAATGGATCGAAACTAAACATAAATAACTGTTTCCCAAAACTTCAGCTGCTGTCAATTTCGAAGAACCCTAACTGGAGAAGTGTCAGAAAATTCACTCCCCGGGATCAAGTCAATAAACCTGATTCATCATTTAGTGAAAACCTAACCGAACCACTGATCCAAGTCCATTTTGAAAACCTAATTTGTGATTCTTTATCACGTGAGCAGGGAAATGCAGTGAGGATACTAAAAATCCGACTCCAAAACTCCAGATTCAAACAAGCGAAGTGTACCTAAGGAGTAGCCGAGCAAATGACTTAATTCCATGGCCATAGATTCGTTCAGGAGTACCTGACGACATGAGGATCCCTGGAGAGCATTCTCAAGATCGAGACCTCGCGAAGAGTGGTTGCAGGAACTCCTTCGTCGTCTTCATGGAGTCGAGTTTTCTTCAAGGCGACGATCTTCCCTGTCGCTCTCTCCCTCGCTCTGTACACCTTGCCGTACGTCCCTTCCCCGACCTTCTCCAGCTTCTCGAACAACTCCATCACTGACGCCGTCGTCGCCGGTTTCTCCATCTCTTTCTATCTTCCAGTTGCTTGATTGATCAATGGTTCTGGCGATTTAGTCTCTGCGCGTTTACTTTGTTATATTCCTTTCTGCGGAGCGTGGAAAGGAAGTCGGAGAACCGTTGATTGGAATGTGCCAGGAGCATTGGGCGGCTGGATGCAAAAGAGATTCAAAAAATTGGCGGCCGTTGCATTTCTGGATTTTTTGAATTTCGAATCTGCTTGGGTTGCCGTTTGAGCGGCCAACTTAGGGCTGCAGGTTTTCTTGTAGTGGGCCTAGGCCTTTTTTGGCTAGGATATTGGGTTCACTGATTGGGCCGATAATCTTCGGCTTCAACAAATCAAAGACTACTTTAGGAAAAGCTGTAATATTCATTTATCATTAGGATTTAGGAATCATATTGATATTGAGAAATGTTTTATTTTGCCAAGGTGGAAATTCTAGACAGAGATTACTTCACAAACTGAAGTTCGGAAACAGATTGACGTCCTTGTAAGTTTTAGCCTAGTCAAAAGAAAAGGGTAGGCGCTACATAACCTTAAAACCTAAAAGGAAGAATCAAAGGCCAAAAAGTTGTCGCAGAATGCACAAGGGGAAGATAAATGTTTGGCAGCATGCTGTGCCTTTGGTCACGATGCTGAACAAGGAGTCTTGTAAGCACCACGCACTTTGTCGATTATCATTCCTACTCGTAAATCTCTTACGTTGAATATACAGCGCTTGCTCGTGCTATTACCTAGTTTGAAGGAGAGCAGAACTTACTCATTGAGCTTCATCAACCAATGGACATGCCACCAAATGCTTCACACAGGGAATTCGGGTGCCTCGTACTTCAACTCAAACCCCGATTTTCATTCTAACACGAAGCAACTGTCTTTCAACAGTTCACTTCGCTTCCACCGCCACTCAGCTGACTTGTATTTACCATAGCTTGTACAGAAAGTTACCTCTTGCAAATACATTCACTTTGTTCAGAGCACAATACTCTGAACTTCTATTAGCTCCTCTACTCTCTTGCAAATCATCATAACATTACAATTAGAAAAAAGAGACTAGAAGAGACTCATTGCCTGAAATAGAGAAAGAGTACGAAAAATTAAGACAGTAAAACAGGATATTTCACAAAGGTCATGATTATGTTCTTTTATGGCTACTCCTAAGCGTTACCTGACACCAGAACATGATATAAAATGGAGTAGGAAATACTAGGATGCAAGCCTGACTACCCAGTTGCCTAACATGCAGAGCCAATCCAAATTCAACAGAGAAATAAATCAAGAACACCATGGCCGGACTCATAAGATTATCTATTACCTCAAACTGCAATGCCTGGCAAGCGATCAAGACCGAGAGAGAGTCAAACTTCCTTCTTTATTGCTACCTGCATCACCCTTAAAGATTAAGAACAATAAATATCACTAGATGGGACTTTCAACAAACTCCTGCATCTCCAACAGCTAAACATTAGAGATGACGACAATTATACCATTCCACATCTCTTCCTTTGATCCAATCACCCCTTGGGAGACAAAACAGTTCCTGTGAGTATAGACAATTGTTGCTAATGTAAATTTTCATCTCTCCCTTCTCTTTTCTTGTAATTATTTTGCCCCCCAAAGGCGGAGGTACTTTACAATCATTTCCCATCAACCGAATGCCTGGCCCATTCACCCTTACAATCCAATAAAAGAACCCTAGGATTACAGTGAATTAACAGGGCATCAGGCAGGTAGTATACAAATTCAAAAAAGACCCAGCATCCCAACAATGCAGTCATTCCCAACTACTTCAAATCTCGAATGCCACGTGCATCCTTCAGTTTGATTAAATGAGGAACAACATGCCCAGATGCTTTGCCTGAAGAGCCCCTTCTAGCTTTTCGAAGAGCAATTGACTACAGAACCGGAAAATAGACAAAAACAGAATGTTTGTTATGTTGCAGTCCAGCAGCTCAAAGATGTCGGACATACCCCCCTCGACCGGTGTCAGTAACAAAAGAATTCTGTAATATAAAGTCATGGACAAGGATCCCATTTTACTGTTCTCCAAAAGCTGATACAAGTTAACTGAAACTCCCCCACAAACTCCTCCACTGGTCAACCATTGTATCAATGAGCTGAATCTTGGTCATCACTGCTCAACTCAACTATATGTACTTTCTTACTATCAGCTGCCACAGTAACTGCATCAGATGGCTTAGCTGTGACAAAATCCTTGTCACATAATACTGCAGGGTTGGACTCATTGCTGATAGCCTCAATAGCAGAACTGGAATCATTAGCAGCAGGGTAGTGTACAGAATCAGTTATTAAGCCAGCACCAACTTCAATTACTGCAGTTTCTTTAGCACCATCATCCAACTTAAGCGCTTCTGCAAAAGTGTCTGATATCTTACTTAGAGTCTCATAACCAAGTAGACCTGTAGAATCCACAGTTGGAATTGTTTGTTGCTTGCTCCTCCTTTCCTTCAAAGTTCTCTCTCGCTGATCATAAAATTCGAAATCATCTAGGATGCATGTATGTGAATCATGACCCTTGAATATATTCAACATCTCAACACCATGTTCTAGTTTCACCTGCATTATATTCAACATAATAGCAACCAGGTGAGGTATTTTTCAGTGAATACCGCATAAGTTATAGGTTGTGACAAAGGATCAAAGGGAATAAGAAACAACAGTAACAAAGATGATTCTGTGTTAATGATATCAAGTCACCAACACCCCATAACCAGGTGCTATAGGTCATGAAAGAAAATTATGTGTGACATGCAAGTAAGTAAAAGACAAGTCATACATGGCATAACTCATACAGTACTCACGTTTTACCACATCATTCTAAGAAACCAGGACTTAAATAAAAACCCTAAATATCTAACAGCAGATACAGAGATGGTTGAAAAGTTAATACACCTGACTTAAAGTGACATTTAAACTTCAATGCTCGTGTAAAATAACTCTCATGCCAACATTAAAGTCTAAAGAGACATGGTAGGAATAAGTCATCAAATACAAGCCTAGACATTGTGTACCCATTGGAGACCATATACTTCAATCCCCAGCTGAATATTGAAGGACTAAAAAAGTTCTGAAACCATGGGGAATAATAGAATACAGGGGCGCATCGAAGGTCCACTAAACAACCAAAAATAAAACCACAGCACCTTTGAACCATCAGTGTAATTTGAAGTACAGTACATGGTCAATTAATACAAGTATAAAGGACCACAAAGATCATTCCTGGGTAGCAATGACTTTATTTGTGCTTTCATTTTCTTGTGATTTATGCCAATTACTTATACTCAGGCATTGTGTACGTAACCAAGAAGTATCAAGGGGCAACAGAATCAAGGGTCTAGGTAATGACCAAAACTTCGGCCAAAGAATAATAGAAGTAAGCAAATTAAAATACCTCCTGACAATCACGACTGTGAGTAACAGGTTTGTTGTCATTATTTTCAAGGAGTATATGACGAAACCGACTGTTGGGAACATCTTTAACAATATGCCAGCGGACTGGAAACTGGCCATTCCACCTATCTTGCTGCCAGTAATCAGCATCTTTGCTAAAATCCACAGGGCCAAGCATTTCAGCTACCCCACAGAACTGTCCACTGGCATTGACCTGCATGATAACAACAGACAAAATCAAGACTGCGTATTATGAATCATGATAGAATAATGGGCAAATCATTTTATTATAAGTTCAGCACATACTGTCAAGATCAGCTTAAATAATTATTCCATAATAAAGGAACAACCTGACTATCATCTGATTACATATAAGAGCATGAGTCATAGAGCTCCAAGGTGAATACAATACATTTCAGGTTTCAATTGGAAAGTTCATGATAAAAAAACCCGAATGTGGAAGAACGGAGAGTAAAAGGACTAGAAGCATATCCATGTTGACATTCTCCAAACATTATCACTAACATAATGCAACTTCGCTGATAATAAACTTACACTGATTCAACTATCCAATAAAAAGAAAAACTTAAGCTGATACAGAAAGCGCATAAAAAAGCCCTCAAGCAACGTACCGAAAACAGGAGGAAGACTGGACATTTAGCATCTATCTCCTTTGCCTGGCTATAAGCAGCATCCAACTTTTTGTTACCATGAGGAGTGCTAGCCCACACCCCATATTTGATACTTTTATGCACGTTATCTTCACTGAAAGACTTTATTATGAAAAACTTTGCAGTATCATAATCAGTTGCAAAATCTGGACGGTTGTATAAGCTAGGTGTAGCTTCGGACCCCAATGATTCATCTATCCCATTACCAGAATAAGCTTGTTCGGCGGCACTCTTACTTCGAAGCTTTGAAGCCCGAGGCCCTCGATTACGGTCAAATCCAAAGGAGTCATTTGTAAAATAAAGTGATTCCTGTTCTCTTCTCCTACCCTTGTCAAGACCGAACCGTGTCCTATCTCCAGCATAAGAAACAGAATTGCCACCAAAGTTAGAGGACTGATATGATCCCCCACGCTGATATCTTCCCATAGAGGAAGTTGAAGTTGATCCATATCCATGCACTGGACTTTGTTGTGAAACCTGTAAAATGTACAAAAGGGACAAAAACATCATTTCCTTGAAGTAATGGACATCAAGATTCAACAACTAGAAGAATAGACTCAAACCTCTGACCAAGAAACTAGTACATTTCAAAGAAGTAAACTATTCCATGAAAATAGCAGTAACATCAGAAAATTTTCAAAGGTACAATTAGGATTCTATTTTCCAGATTGAATCCAGAATTGTTGATATTTCAGTGATGAACCCGACAGATCTGGCTTCTTATGACCGTGAATTATTACAGCATGACAATTAACATTACAGGCTCCATATCCACCACTGGGATTTTCTCAAAAACTCATCTGAAGAAATTAGGATCTTCATGTCACACCCCCAATACATCGGTTTGTATCCCTAACTTGAGCTATTCAATGAAACCAACCAACTCTATAGCCTGAATCCAACAGAACCGGATAACTATTGCAGTAAATTATTAGTTTATTACAGCACTACGACTGACACTACAACCTCCGTATCCACCACCGCAATTTTCTCAACCACTCATCTTAATTCTGAAGGCATGAGGACATCTTCAGCAAAACCCCCAATACATCCGTTCGTATTCCCAGATTGAGGTATTCAAGGAAATCAACCAACCCTGTAGCCTAACAACACGAGATTTATTCACCTCATGTAGGCATGTGTGGATGGCAAATACACTCAAGAGAAACACATTTTCATATGGGCAGCAATTTAAAGTGCTAGGAGTTCATTGTCGGCAAATATTAAAAGATTATACTTGATTATTAACGCACCAAAAATAAATAAAGTGGTTGCTAGTTCTAAGCTATATAAATGCAGAAAGCAGTAAAGCTAACGAGAAAGCCCAATAATAAAGTTTCATTACACAGAATGCAAGACTTTCACAGAGGGCTAATGATGAGAGATACAACAAACCTGTCCAACATGGTGCTCATATGAACCCAATATACCCATAGGTTGATGATAAGCAGCAGGAGATGCTAACGGACTGGAACCAGGTGCACCAGACATGTTCCCTCCGCCGAAAGACCCATAATGTACAAAGTAACCTGAGCCAGGCCCGAACGGGTAGCTTTCATTATTATTATCTGATGCCATAAGCTCAGACGGCGAAACATGAACAGATGAAGGAAAATTTGGATTATGTTGTGGATAGAAAGATGGTGAGAATGGGATCTGCTGAGGAGAGTATAATTGCCCATCAAGCATTATAGAAGGCACGGGTGTGGCAACAGGAGAGTATTGCCCATATGCCATATCAGGATTGAAGCCATACCCAGAAGGGAATACAAGAGATGAATTATCATTATAGATCACCTGAACCAAAGTAAACACAAAGGGGGCAAAAGGTCACTATGAGCTTGATGTAGATCCAGTTATGATACTGCAGAAACTACAATAAGAAATATCCTCACAGGAGACATATGTAAGCCCTCGGCAGCACTAGGATATTGAGCGTATCCATCCCATGTACCTGTGCCATAGCCATAACCTAAATCCAGAACAAAGTAACAGTATGTGATGTCAAAGTGTTGAACTCCAACTAACATTACCACTTTGCGGCCGCCTCAATAAAATTATCATAGCAGGAAAAGTCAAATTTGTCATGCATAAAAGTTAAATCAAATTTCTCACAACTGCATAGTTACAGGGGGTACTTGGATCAATAAACGACTGAAGGGGGATAGATTGGGATATATACAAAGAGAAAGTTCCATTTTGCAACTCAATACAAAACGAAATAGAAAAAAAGGGGAGAGGGGGGGAGTCATCAAGAACTGAAAACAAAGGGTCAATATACTCACTTCCATATGAGAAGTTTTGTTCATGCTGAGTATAAACATCATGTGGCGGTATAATGCGAAGGCCTTCACTTGCATCTGAAGTATGTGGTCGCTCAATGGCAGACCTTGCAGGCCCGATGACAGATACATCAGAGGGGGGATTGCAGGCAACAATCCTTTCATCTTTAGGAGATAGTGGCTGTGAATAGATCAAGAAGCCATGTGATGTGAGGAATCAAACACAAATTCTGCATTGCATTAAGGCATAAAACAAAGTAAGTTTTTGAAAGAATTCACCAGTTATACCTGACCACCCAAGCTGTCCCCCTCTGGCGTCTCACTTGCATCCAGGACTGCCAAGCAACAGATATAAGCACAAATCAGGGTCAATCTATCATTTACCATTGTGTTAAGATGAAAGAATTCACAGTATGCTGACAGCAGAATGTAGGAGTTCGAGCTCAGACAGAAGTGTAAGGTTGGTACTGAGGCAATAAGACAACAACTGACACGGCCCACATTCATGACAGAGAGAGTCCCTAAGAATATGTAAACCATTCCCCGTCAACGAGAGGGGACATGACTATAACAAGGAAAAAAGTAACACGGCTATGCTACCAGTCAGCTCATTTCATAGATAAGTGATCAAAGATTCACTAACTGATAATGGACCAAAATATTGAGACATTCAACACAAATGAAGTAAGACCCCAGGATCGGAGTCAGTAAAGAAACAAAGCAGATTCCAGCCAAATCAGAGAGTGGGGAATCTACATACTACATTACTACCCATCAAGTTGAAGAGGAACCAGAAAGGGTACAACCCAAGACAGAGGACATGAGAACTTCCGCAGACCCAAGAGAAGGCCGAGAAATGGCTAATCTCGTGCTACGGGGACGAAACGAATCGACACAGACGAAAGAAGCAACAGCGAAACAGGGAAAGCAAACAATTGGAAGGGAAAAGATGACAAGCGGGAAAGGTACCAGTTGGGATCGCCCGATCTTGATCCTCCTGGGAAGCAGGATCCATGATTCCGAAATCTGAGATCTGAAGAGTCTTTTTCTGCTTTTTCTTCTCAATCGACGACAGTCAACAAGGAACACCCAAAAAAAATTCAGAAAAAAAGGGGAAAATGGAAAAGGAAAAACCCTAACCCTAATTGAGAACCTTCATTTGGGATGGTGGATCGAGAGAGAAAACATGGAGTTTGACTTTGAGAGGGAAAATCAAAAAAGACAAGACGCAGAAACGAGATCTTTTGGGTTTTGCGACATTTGAACCAATACAGAAGGGGTTTAGAATCTTATGCAAAAAGCACACAAAACTAGCAACTATAAAATAATAAACCTGTTTTTATTTGAGCATTCTACAAAAATAACCACTACAATAAAACTATTTACATATTTAGTCACTTTTCAATCTTATTTCCAAATCTAGCCACTAATACTCATTTTTTACTGACAAATTTTTCTCAATCGAGCCACTTCTATACTACTCATATTTTTTTATTTACATTTTGGTCCTTGAAAGTTTTATAATTACCAGCTTTTATCAAAAGACATCATGGTATCCAAATATGAGTCGTCCAACTCAAATTTGACAGATCTTACCACCTTCGTGCTAAGTTTCAAGCATTGTTTGAAAGGTTTGACGAAATGCCCCATAAATGATTGAATTTGATAGACAAAGGGTAGGAGGCGAAGTTCTAAACCTCCTGAACCAACGACTAGATGCAATTGAAAATGAAAGAAAATTTAATAAAAGAGTTATGAATCTGATGTTTTAAAACATCGACCAAAGAAAATGGTTCCATATATGTTGGACCCGACTAATAGAATGGCTAATGCTAATACTATCCACTCGTAAATCTATATGGGTTTAATGGAAGAAGCTTCGATTGAAGTAGATGGACGAAGGTTTAATGAACTTGACTCCGTTGAGGCATGGTTCTAAACCAAATTATCCTCATAAGTCATAAGACTAAGCAAGATTTCCTTCAAAGAGATAATCCTTTAAGACTGGTCATTAATTCACGTGATTTTCTCTATTAATTGTTGAAAGCATGTACAGAAAAGGATAGATGAGTGGATTACAGTGCTTAGGATAACGGTTAAAGCGTGCAAGTTTACGCCTGATCAAACCTTTGAGTTTTGTAAAACTACCATGGTAGGGAATGCCCAAATTTTGGAATGTATAGGCATCCGATACAGTAATTAACAATGAAATTTCTAAAAAGGTTTTAGGTGTTTTGGCAATAGTAGCTGATGGCTAGAAAATAGAGTTTTGTGGATTTAAATTATCAATTGAAGCTTTAGAAAATGATCAATCAGTTTTGTTTGTGCCTAGTAAATACTAGGCGGTTTGTGAAGCTGGAATGAGGCGTCTGTTCTTGGACTGAGGGGTGTGCTCCAGATACTCTGCAAAACAAGGGTCCGGGGCGGTCGCCCGGGACACTCTCCAAAGCCTAAGTTAGAGAGAGAATGGTGATGGTAGAGAGATTTAATGTAGAGAGAAGAGTAGTAGTTGAGTTTACCATTAATGCACACACTCTATATTTATACCTGTTCTAAGGGTGGTTGAGGCATTAAATGCTGTGTCGGGCGCCTCGACTTGTGTCGGGCGCCCTTGACAGGCTTTTAGCCTTTCTGCAGGCCGCCTGTATCTGGCAATAAATGCTCAGTCTTACCTGACGTAAGATACGTATCTCCAACGGCTCCCTGCCCCTCTGCGTTGCTCAGTCGCTTTATGTCAGGCGACCTTGGCTCGTCCTCGGGTCTGCAGTCGGTCATGGACCGCCTGCTGACCGGTCTTCAGGTCGCCTCCGGGTTCCTCGCTGGGCCTTGTCTGCTGGTTTATTCCTCTTGGGCCCAAAGCCCAAATACGCTCAACTATGCGGCCCAACAATTGCCCCTTAGGCGGGAAAGCCTAGGGCTTTGGCGGCTACCCATAATGCATTCCGCTAGTTGAGCGGCTCACGTCTCCTCTTACCTTACCTTGCCCCTGGCCGCCGAGGACGTAGGTTTGCCCCGCCTGGGCAGTACGTCAGCCCCTTCGCGGGTTTATTGGCAGAGACGCTTCGTACACGTGGCCGTGGATCGGTTTCCGTGCTTTGACACCGGGCAGGCGAAACGTCCTTTCGCGTGCCCGATTTTGAATTTTCTGGCCAATGACCACATTTCGGGCACCCAACCGTCACATCAGCCTCCTCCCTGTCACTATATATATCCTTAGTGTGAGTGTAGGGGAATCCTTTCTCACTTTCGTCTGCTACCTCCTTCATTCAAAATTGCTCGTTGCTCTCGGTTCTCTCTCTCTCGGTACTTGGAGACTCATCTCTCTCTTTCGGCGGAGCGCTATCGATTTCTCTCTTCGCTGAGGAGGAAGCTGAAACGAGACAAGAAGAAGAGGAAGCATCTGCTAGCAATGGTGTCACAGGCGACTACCCCCTCTGATAGTCAGAACCGAGGCCTATCCAGTGAGTCGGCGCCGCCTTCTGCTTCCGACGTCGCCACAACCACTGCTTCGGCCGCCGCGACCGTTTCTGCCTCTGGGACGGCGGGGGCCACCGCTTCCGGCGATGGGGCGGCTCTCCACGGCGGCGCCAACATCACGCGCCCCGCAGCTAAAACCGCGAGCGCAGGCGGTCCCGCTCCTGGAGCAGGTATGCCCGCTTTCTCTAACCCTTTAAGTTTGTCCGACATAGAGTGGGACTCAGAGGGTATTGAACTGTTGTGTGGGGGCGGGAATGCGGTTAGCGCGAGTGAGCACGTAGATAGACCTGACGGCTTCATTTTAGGGTTAGGGGTTGGCACTTTAGCTGACACAGCTACTTCCGCGGCGGAGCGCGGCGCGACCTCCCGGGTTGGGGACAACCTGGTCGAGCTGTCTTCCGAAGGCGCGCCGGAGGACACGGCTCATGACTCGGCAGGAGAGGATTCCATTGAGGACTCCTCTGTACTTGCGCTGTCCGAGACGCCGATCGTCCATCCATTCCAGGCGGTTGCGGACCGCGTGTATCGTGTGCGGCTGCATTCAGACATGTGGGAGGGGGAGGGAGTTCCCAACGCGGTTTACTCATATGGGCCGAAATATAATCCCGCGTATTCCCCCCTTCAAGTACTCCGCCAACTGCATTGCCACCAGCTGCCGGCGGATTGGGAATACGCGGCTCCGGCACCGGAAGGGAGGTGCGGTTCGTGCCCCGCTGGGTGGATCACCATCTTCACGGAACATGTGCGGTTGGGTTTGGCGTTTCCACTTGACCCGATCCTTACTGGAATTCTTTTGAACCTTAACTGCTCTTTGAGCCGCCTTTCTCCCTCCATAATTTTTCACTCCCTTTGCTACCGCGCTGCCTGTGACCGTCTAAAGGAGGAGCCGTCTGTGGATGCGTTCCGGTTATTATATGCCATGACCGGTTCGAAGAACTGCTGGTCGCCCCGCAGGCGGTCCAAGAAGGTTGGCTTTGTTCATGGTACCCCGAAGTTGGACTCTCCTTGGTATGCTGAGTATTTCTTCGCCCGCCCCACTGGGAAGTGGTATTCGGGGGAGGTAGAACCGCTAACCGCGTTCTCTTATGGGCGGACTGAGGATTGGGACGAAGGAGTTAAGGAGATGCAGCACTTGAGACCGCATCTCGACCGGATCATGTCGACGGTCCAGTTTCGGTTGCCTCCTCACGGTCATGATAGCGCTCTAGAGATTGTACAGCGTTTCCACGGTTAGTTAGCTCCACTTGACTTTGATGGGATGTTGTTAGCTCATGCGTTTTACTTATGTATCTACTTCGCAGGTATCCGTCGGTACGCTTCTTCGGCGAGACCTCCCAGGGTGACTTCAGGCGGTTCTCCCTCTGCCGCTGCGTCCGTTCCCGCTACTTCTGAGGGCGTCAAGACTGGCGGCGGTTCGACCCAGTCGCATCTGGCGATGGGACGCTCGGGAACCTTGAAGCTGACCGTTCCCAGCGGTCAGAGCGTGCCCCGTGTCAAGCGGTCGCTGGACGTTGTTGTCATCAAGGACAGTCAACCATCTGGGAGCCAGCCGCGGCAGAAAGAGAAGGGTGTCACGGCTGACCCGCGTCCCGAGCAGCCAACCGCCTCGAAAAAGCAGAAAACCACCGAGCTGTCCTCCAGCGCGGCGTACTCCCCTCATGCGACCTCCTCCGCCGAGCCGGCTCGGCGTGCCCTTCACGCTATCGCTGAAGGATTCGCGGTCCCGAGTGAGTATGTGCGCGTTATGGGCGCCCTTCCCACAACTTCTGATACGCGGCATCTTGCGGGGACAACCGCGCGATGTTTCTTCGCGGTGAGTGTCCATCACTGCCATGCCTTGTATGTTTTAAAGCTTTCTCGTACTAACTTAGCTTTAATTTTTCAGGCTCAGTTTGGGATAAGCCAGCTCATCCTCCACAATGAGCGGTTGCTGGACGACCTTAGCGAGCGGGAGACTCGTATCCTTGAGCTGGAGAAACAGCTGAAGGAGGGTCGCGAGGGATTCCGCCAGGAGCTGCGCGATGAGGTCCTAAGGGAGCAGGAGGCGGTCGCGAAGGCAAAGGAGGCTGAGTTGCTGACTGCCAAGGGGGAGCTAGCCAGGTCAGAGCAGGAGCTTAAGGAAGCGAAGGAGAAGGCGGTCGGGGCGGCCGATCGGGAAGAGAAGTTGCGGGAGAGGGTTCGCGAGTTGGAAGCTGGGCTGTCCAAACTGGAGGCGCAGCGGGAGCAGGATCTGAATGAGGCGCGGGAAAGCGCTCGTGCCACCTTCTTTGACTCCGATGAGTTCAAGATGGTGGACGAAGCCAAGTATCAGAAGCTGCTGAGGGACACGGTCGCCTCCATTCGCCACCTGTTCCGCCGCGACCACCCCTATGTGCTTTGGGATCGTAACGCGGTTTGGGACGCCGTGGAGTTTTGGGGTGATGACGACGTCAACTCCGAAGAGGCGCCTCCATCTACAACCGAAGCGACCCCAGCCGGGGAGGAGGTGAACCAACCCGCTTCCACTGAGGGCGGTTCTGCTTGAGCTGAACCATGACTTGACCAAGTGTTATCTTTTATTTACTGCTTTTTTCTGCCTTTTCCCCTTCGGGGCGTATGATACATTCCGCCTTCGGCCGACGGTCTGTAATATTTTGGGTTGGATGCTTTTGTTTTCTCCTGCATGCTGACGACTTTGTTTGGGCTCCATTTTTTAGGAGTTAGTATTTTCTTCCTGTCATTCTTCACTACGTTGGCTTTGCTAAACTGCGAGGCGGAACCTCGAAGAATCGGGCGGGCCTTCTTGCGT